ACGAGCACGTGGAACCGCTGGTCGAACAGCGGCGCCGCGGTCGTATTCCTCCATTTTCTTAAGTCGAAACTTGAGACTTCGACGTGCTTGCTGGACGTCCTACTTTTAGATACTCAAAAGTCGATTGATGCCGCGCAAAATGGTGGTCTGGTTTTTCAGGTAGAAAACCTAAATATCGTTTTTCACGATGAATTGTAGTCAGTATTTGGAACAATCCCTGCGTACTCATGTACGGATGCACGCGCTTGCTGGCAGCCGTCGGGCACTTAAGCGATCGCTTGCATCGTAAGGCGATGTCTTAGCTGTAGGGCGCTCATGTTTGCCCCAACATGCAGTTAGACTGGATGACGTGCGGTTGATCGTGTCTTATGCTGACTTTTTCAGACATAAGAGTAGCCGGAGGTAAACAAGGCATGGATGACTCGTGCCTGATGACGGTGTTATGAGAGTCTGTAAGGGTAACACTGTACACTGCGAGTGAATCAAAACTTCACGTACCCTTTTGTGCAGACAGCGCAGGCAAATGCACAAGATCGCATTATCAGAATCATATTGGAGCTACTCTATTTGCGAGCCTGAAGGGCGAAGTTTTGATACAGCGTGTGCGTAAGGTGGTAACAGACTAGTGATGATAGCCGTAGTTCTCGACAGCTCTTAGCGAAGTGTGTCTGTATATCCATTTGCCTGTCTCTCTGTGAGTCACGCGGTGTCCCCTGCACATTGATAGAGTCTACAACTTCACATGTCATTTATGTTGTTTGCTCAAAGAATTTGAGCAATAGCAAAACCATATGACATGACGATACACGCATCAAGACAGGCGCTGGATCGTATCATTATAATCTAGACAAGCTATAGATCCCGCATGAATTAGCATTGTCGCACTGTCAATAACTCATCACGTTTGGCACGTATCGGTCATCTCGTTTCGTATGCCATAATTGCAGAAAGTATACATCCCGAAAAAACTTTCGACACGACTTTTTATGAACCGGATAATCGACAATGTCAACATCGGAGGCGCAATCCGACTTAGTGTACAAGCATAAAACCTTGCTCCTTCATTTGCTTGTACGTTCAACGGCTCAGTTCCTTCTTCACCAACGATAACTAAATATTTTAAATGACCAATTTGTATGTTCAAGTGAAACTTTCCTCAGACATTTTTAGGTATGTAAGCGTACTCACCGCAAACGGCTCAGTGACTTATCGTCCAGTCTATGCTACATTGTACTATGGGATCATGCTCTACAGCGTGGCTGTTTGCCACACCACGATGTTTTTAATGGTCGCTTTTCAAATGTCGTACACAATCGTATCCATCGCAATGACTCAATTTGAAGTAACTTGCTCGTCAAAGCTTGAAAATGCTCTCCACAATCCAATCATACGTTAAGTATGACCTGCCACGACAAAAACCATCATTATGCTGTACATCTTGTAGCATTTGATGTATACTCGATCTACGTCTCTTTAGTAAAGAGCAAATCACATTTTGCCAAGCGCGATTTTTGTAAGCGCTGAAACGTTCCTGTGCTTATCTACACTGAAGTCTTATATGATGTAGCTTCTGTTGCCTGTAAAAAGTTTAATACTCTCACAATCTTCCAGGGCACGAAGTGATCTATATACCAGCGCCACAAAGTATATGTGTGTTGAAAGCAATCTTTGCAAGATGTCAGCGAGTTCTCTTGATGTTGTTTGATTACTAAAGCATTTCTGCCCCAACCTATCCCAACCGTTTTTGACGATCTGCTACGCTGCTGCGACTTTGTAACAATTTATGATCCACGTTCACGATCATTTCTGGTAGCCGTTCAACCGTCTCGCAAATTTGGCGGGATAATGGGTGTAGGCGCTTCGCATTTAGGAGTAGTGCCCTAACTTCGGACAACGAGTGCATCGTTACTGCATGTCATAATTATAGTAGGGCTCTTGCTCTTATCATTATTAAGATCCATGGTCTATGGACATCCATTTCTTGTCGTCTTAGTGAACGATTTAGCTCATATTCAACTTTTATATATAGCTGGAGTCCTTTTGTTCGATCACCAAACCAGCTTGGTCACAGTTTTCATTTCAGAAGTATAATGGTCGTGACGGTGCCAGGTGCGATACCTATGATGAACATAGCAACTTGTATTTGTACATCAAAAAGCTTACAAAGATACAGCTCCAAGGCTTCCTTGTGTTACGCATAAGCGTGTATGTCACGCATTTACTGCTTCAAGTCCGGTATATCTACTCGATCCCTCCATTACGACCATGGACTTTCATATGTTTGTCACTAAGGAGACTGTAATTTGTCACACGAACATGGAGCTTACGGCTAATCTACCTATGATCGAGCCCATCCAATTCACTTTAGCCCACTCTACACCGATCAAAATTGGCGAAGCATTAACTTGTGGCGTAAAATCTGTCCTCATTAGTCGTTTCCTGCCGGACTGGTCCGCGATTTTTGGATGAGATGAGAAGGTCTATCAGGTGTAACGAAGAAGCACGTCCAATACTATGGACTGTACAAGACGACCTACTATGGTTACAAAGGACATGCGCAAGTGCCTTAAGACTCTTCGAACACTAGATAAAGAAGAGATAACTAGACAACCGGTAATGTGTAAATACAAGTCAAAACAGCACTGTTATGCATCGGTAAGCTTATCGGATTGTAAATTTGATATAACTTCACCATGTTTATTAGTACAAACACAAACTTCAACTGTACAATTGTCAAGGCTTCTCTTAAGAACGATAACATTCGCCTTGATATTTGTTCGTTTCGGTGCCATGTGACGGCATCATGCCATTGCAGCGGTTCATTCGCGTCTGGTCCACGAGTCTTATTGTTGCAAATAGGTTTCTGCAGCGTCAACAATGCCTCCTCTCTTTCAAATCAATCGTACTTATCCCTTATGTGTCTGTCGCTGGACTTGTCGTAGGCTGCATCTCGCTGCATACGAATTGCGGTGTCATATTCGAATTCTGCGATTGCTCAGTCAAGCTCCTTATAACCACAGTTTGTCGTGCATCAGCATATTTCTGCTCACTTTTACACGATTTCACTGGAGAGAACAGTCAAGTACAACGCAGGTGGTAAGGGATTTGCTATTGTATGGATATAATCCGTCAATGAAGCTTAATATCATTTTGAAGCCGACAATCGTGCATATGGAAGTGCTGGTCAATTGTTACATCTACTGATGTGAAGTGACAAGGTGGTGATAGGTAGACCAAATCGATCACTTCTGTGCTCGGAGGTTATGAAGACTGAAACGTACTTTATCAGTCTCTTTACAAATTTACTTCCGTGCTAACAGCCATCAACCCACAACAAGCTCAACCTTCAGTCTTCGCCCATTATAGCTGGATACCGTCGCCTGTCAACTCCGCTATCGTTAGCTTTTTGTCGGGTCCCATATCCGTATTCCAGCACAAGGAAGTCATTTCTTTCTTAGTAGAACCAGAAAAGCATGGTAGAAGCGCTCGGAATGGAGACTTTGCTGATAAGAGGGGTGAAAACAAAATCATGGCATCAGCATATCGTACATGCTATGGAGTAAACGGTGCAGGGATTGGGACGAAATAATGATTGTCATATTGATGATGGGTTCTTTACCTGTACCAAATAATCACGGAAATAAAAAAATGCACTAGACCATACAAAACGCATAATATTTGCAAGAATGCACAACTCGATTAAAAAACATGAAATAAATGCACGAAGCTGGAATCATGGGAAATGGCACCAGCAATGCATACTATACGAACGACTTTATACATACCAGGGTTCAAACGTTTCCGCCCACGACACGTCGCTTGACGGATTGCAAGAAGGACATAACGCATTGACGTTTGTAAACATAGCCTTAGAGTATAGCTTATCTTTCGTGGATAAGACCACAGTTCTTTCATCTGCAACGTCTTCATCTTACTAATTTGACGCTGTGATAATGCGATGCTGTCGTCTCGGCGATATCGTTTGTCTGGATGGGATGACAGGCGCCGTGTTCACATGGCGCGTACACGATATATTAGTAGATGTGTGAGGCACGACTCAACGAACCCTTAAGCGATGGACAAGCGTGGCAACAAGAGCAAGGCTGTACATTGGAAGCTGACGAAGTAGTTTTGGTGCGATTGCTGGTGGTCATGTATATACTTGTCAAGAGTAGAAGCGTAACTATCATGTTGAGCATCAAGAGTAGGGGCGTATGCAACCGGACAAGAAAGGCATTTGACATGATCTCTTTGATATTGGCAACTTCAAGGCAGACCCATGCTTGCCAGCGACGACATTCGAAAGGCTGTGTGAATTTCGATTGGTTACAGTTTGTCTAATGCGTCGGCCGCTGACTTGTTTAGTCCTGTTTTTTTAGGCTGCAGAATTGGCAATAAGCTTCGTGTTGCCTGTGCGTGGTGGTGCTAATGAGCTGACACTAGATTTACAATATTTGATCACAGAACGACCGATAGATCGATCCGACACCCTCGAATGGCCAGAAAGGCCCAGTCACCTTTCAATTTGCTGCGACGTCGGTTTGAATACCATCAGCAAAATCGCTATTGTCTAGTGTAATATACATGATAAATTCGAAGATAAAGTATACATCTGCGGTGTGATGTTTTGCTTCGTACATATGTCATGCATGTCTATACTACCTTTTCTCGTTTCGGGATCATCTGGTACATCATAAAGTTTCCCACTTAGCTGAAGTGTCTGTGCTGCAATATTGACGAGAGGCGTGTGGCATACTGCCGAAGCGTGCAGCGATCTCGCGCGAAAGACAGCAACAATATAATCGGACTCAAGTAGGTCTTCTGTACGACGGTTTTTGGTACACACCGATTTCGGGTTATCGTCCCAAACACATTGATTCAATATCTCGTAACATGGCTCAAAAAAGCTCTTTTCCGGCTTGCGTTTGGGCGACTGATAGTAGGAACATACTCACTTCACATTCTTCTTAACCCGTGTCCTCACAAGCCAGTCACGTCACCTACAGGCGGGATCCGCTGGAAAAGCCGCCAGCAGCAGCAACACCTCCAGTCTGCGGCACAGGGTGGTGCGACAGCCGGCCACGAACAAAGCCGCCAAAGCCCTTTTTCTTTTGCTGCTCTTTTTGCATCTCAAGTTGGTACACACGAGCGCCGTATTTCGCGGCAAGATCACGAACGATACCGTCGTCGTCACGAAACTCACCAATGACCTGACGGAAGTCAGGCACCCGCTCTGAAGCCAATGCCTTGAGGAACGGAATCAAATTCGTTAGTTCGTGGTCTTCGCGATCCCGTCCGTCGGTAAAAGGCTTGACAGGAATCGCATTCTCTGGCTGTAACTGATAAGCCTCGGGGTCATCGTCCAGTATCACCACTTGACGCAGGTCCCGATTCAAATTGGCAAGGTCCTTGACGTGAGCGCCATTCAAATAACGCGTTGCATCGCGTGACAGCACATGCAGTGCACACTGCTTGGGGTCCAGCTTCTGCACAATCTCTTCCGCGCCGTAATTCTGTGAGAAAATGACAATCTCGTAGTACTGGCACAGTGTCTCAAGGAACTCGTCGACCCCCGGACGCTTGGCATGGCGCCAGCCATGCTTTCGCTGCAGCATACACCAATATGCACACATCCGACACAACATCAGACCCTTTCGATCAGCCACACCTTTGCACATCTCTACCGGCTCCACTCTAGCAGCAACGTACGCTCCACTCCGAATGCACAAGTGTGTCCTCCAAGTCCACAACCAAGACAGGAACTGGTGGCGTGTCTGCTGGCACTTGTGGGATCGGCCAATCAGGCAGCAGCTTCTCCCGCGACGGATCCGTAAACGGCTTGACCGTCTCCTCTACTTTCTTGCTAACAAAGACGTAGACATCGCCCAAAAACGTGGCGCGCAACGTCTCTCGAATACGCGTCTTGAGACGCTCGTCCAGGACAAAGTGCCATAGAATCGATCCCGAAATGCTGCCCGCCAAGAGCGCAAACGAAACACGCGCAGGCAGCGACGACGTCCGAACGACTTTGTGCTCGAGACCGTCGGTCGAGTGCTTGGCAGCTGCTTGACGCGCAGCTCGTCGCTCGGCGCGAGGCACAACGTGGAGCGGCGTGTCCCGTCCAACGCGAGCAGCGACGCGCGATGACTGCGAGACCGACGAAAAGGACAACGACGAAGGCGTAGACACTGACCGCTTCACTGCGGCGGCGGATACCAAGCGACAGGGGGCGCCCCGCACTGCTGCAGCGGCCAACACGCGACGCTGGACGAGACCTCGCAACGTCATTACTGGCGGAGGAGCGCGTGATCGATGATGACGAGTGGTTTACGTATCGCCTGCGGTGCGAGCGGTAGTTGGTGTAATGTACACGAAATCGGACAGATGGCTTGTCCGTAGTGTGCGTGTACCACATCACACACACACACACACTTTGACTCGTGTTTGTGTCCACCACATGATCCACAAAATGCGAATCCAAGAGGTGTGGTCGCTGGTTGGGCTGCTGTCGCTGTCGCTGCTGCTGGTGCCGCGCGTCGTGGCGCCCGGTGACTTTGCGGCACTTGATCCGGACGTCGTGGCAGCTGAAGGAGGAGAAGATCGATCAGATGGCGCAGACGGCTCGTACAGAAGCGATGGCGAACACGACGACGACGCTGATGACCATCACGTCTGGAGCGCTCGACGCCACGTCGAGAGCTTTGACTTCGATCCGTCTCAGGGACTGACGTTCTACGTCTTTGGAGACGAAAGCGCGTGCTTCTATGAAGACGTCAAGTTGCTGAAAGGAGGCGCTGATGGCGGCAAAGACGAGGAGCTACGGGGCGCGTACGTCGTGGATGCAGGTGATTCGCACATTGACGTGGAGGTGAAGGACCCCGAGGGCGTGACAGTGCTTCATCAAACAGGCAAAGCCGAGGGAGAATATGTAGTAGCGCTCAAGTGAGTGCACACGATGGGGTGTCTTGAGTGTGAGGGGATCAAACGAACTCAATGGCTGGAATCGTTATGGCTGTTTTTTGTCGTGTGTAGACACACTGGTGTTCATGAGCTCTGCTTTCGGAATCCAGACGCGGACGGAAAGTTGGTGACACATGTGACGAACACGCTGCAGTCACAGCATCCAATCGAGAAAGGTTCGAGCTTGTTGTGCTTTTGTGCTCATTTGTCTGTTCGTGTAGCAAGAACAGATCGACGGTGGGGGAGGTTGCTGTGCTTACGGTGACATATGTGTTTGTTGCTGTTTGATGTACGAAATGCGCAGAGCATGTGAGTGGACTGGCTAAGTATGCGTCGCATCTAGACTTGCGTCTTGGCGAGCTTGAGTCGGAGCAGCGACTGCAGCTGATCCGGACCGACAGACATGCCAAAGGTCGGTTGATTTTTGTTATTGTCTTGCGTGTTGACGTGTGGCAGTTGGTCATGTACTGACATTCATCGATGAATCGGTAGTCGAAGAAGAAATGAATAAACGCGTCGTGTTCTACGGCGCGCTGGAGTGCGTTGTCTACCTCACGGTATGCTTCTGCCAAGTGTACTACATCAAGAGCTTGCTCGAGAACCCGCGTAAAGCGCGCACCTGGGTCTAAGAAGCACATCGATCGTGCCAAGTGTGCCGAATCCACGGTGACATTCTGTGCTCTACAAGACGGTCGAAAAAGCATCAGCTATGTGCGTGGCGATGGTGTTGCAAGGCAAAGGCACAAATGCAGCACATGTTGACACTGACGTCGATATCTCGCTTCCTCTTCTTTCACGGTGTCTGTAAGCCTGCATCCAGCGCCTTGATATACTCAAGGTCAGGTAAATTATCTTTCGGCCGATATCGTTTCCATAGATCGAGAAAGCCAGGCCCGATCCCTCGTGCTCTCTCGCCGTTCTCATCTTCGTACATCCACAAGTAGCATCGCGCAACATCTTCCAGCTCTTGTTCAAGAAGATTTAGCGTAGTCCACCACGGATCATTCGTCTCTGTAGCCACATTCGGCCCTACCTGGCGGTGATACAAACAAGCTACATACACCGCACCAGCAGCAAGTGAGGAGCAGTCAAACGCAAGACACAATCCACTTTTGACTGCGTCCGCGACCAGCAAAAACGCAATTTGGCGCACATTCTCGTATGAGATATCCGGATGCATCGCGTCAAGGTCAAACACCTTTTCCATATGCGGAGCAATGTACGCAAATGGCTGCGGCGCCCCGATTTCAAACGACAGCGTCAGCAACAAGATCCGTTCAAGCAGTAGGACTTTACTTGCGTTTGCTTCGATTTCACCGACTTCCACAACCTCCAACAGAGCCTGCAGCCACTCCAAGTGGTTTGCGTTCGCGGTATCCTTGTCATTGACAAAAGTCGAGCTAACGACCGCACCTGATTTGTTCTTTGAGTCGCGCTTTTGTTTCTTGTTGTAAGGCAGCATGGAAGCAGGAGGCGGCGGCGTGCGTCGGGCACTCGCGGCCGTAGTCCCTTTCTTGAACTTGTACGTGGCCCGATTGGCCTGCATCTTCTCCAGAGCCTGACCTGGACACAGCAGCAAATACATGGAGCACTCGGTGACGTAGCGGACCTTGACTGGAAACTCCTCGGTCTTCCCGGCTAGAAACAGCGCCGCCGTTGCAACTACGAAGCGATCGTGCGTCGCAAACGAGTGCAGCATGTAGAACTTTTGGATGTACAATTGCGCCGTCACACTCGGCGCGTTGGGCATTCCTAACAACTGGGCCAAGTGTTCCACAAAGACGCACGTGGTCCGTCGCAGCTGGAGCTCGACCCGCCATGGCACGTTGGACTCTGTGCGACTTGGCGTGCAAAACACCGATGCAGCTTCCGTGTCAGTGTTCTCCTTCTCCGACTCGTCCTGCTTTCGTGTGGACGACTGGACGATCATTGATCGCAGCTGCGGGAAGACCCATTTGTTACCCAACGCAGGGGCCATGCAATTGTTTGCCAAAGAAAATACTATCAAAGGCCCCGTCACGCGCGACGAGAGCGGGTGGAGCGTGGGAATATATATATATATATGCTGAGTGAAAGGGAAAATAAACAAAATGCGCTAGAAAATCGCGGAAATAAAAAGATACATTGCAAGATGGGGAAAATACCACAAGCTGGAGAAAATGAAAAAATGCATCACTGATGCAATCAATCTTTACGGCCAACTGTACACGTGCCTGCGAGCATTCAGTCATGCGCATCCACGTACATCTTCTTGATTCCCTTCTCTTTTCGTTGATCAAATTCCGATACATCTTTGGCGTCAGCGGTCGTATCGCACGAAAGAAAGGTGCGTCGACGCTTCAATCGTAGTCTGGGCAGTCTTGCTAATGCAAGGCCACATTCTTTCTAACGCCTGAATCCAGATCTTGGAATGTGGTATAGTAGTAAACGGTGCAGCTAACTTCTGGGCTGAAACGTCTTTTCATTGGATGAGATGAGACAGCGCCGCGTTCAAATGGCGCGAACGCGATGCCCCCTAAGATGTTTTCAGGTACGACTCGAGGTAGCATAGAATGACTTTATCGACAAGCTACACCATGAGGAGACAAAGTTGTGGTGAGCTGACGGAACATGTTGGTGCGATTGCAGGTGGCCACGCGGATGCTTCGGTACAGTGCACGCGAACAACACATGCAATGGAGATGGAATATTGTGGTCGGCACAAATAGAGAAGATCCTAAAGGTGGCATAATATTGTCGATGTTGATCCGGATATTGCAGTACGGATGCTGCAAAGACTGACTGCACCGGAGCAGGTAATGTGCAGGTAAATGCGCACAAGCGAAGCAGCTCAATCCTCTCGAGTTACATCGAACATGTAGCACAAGTGTTGTAATGTCAAATGTTATATATTTTTAGGAAAGTTGCTTTACATGCGAGGACATTAAGTATGATGCTCACATCCAGCGTTTATGTGTCTTGTGACAAAGGTACCGGCGTGTCGTCAATATCCCATGTTGCAAATCTCTATGTTCCACGGACACATCAGACTGATCCGGCACATTGTCTATCGCCATAAATTGCTCTTGTTTGTAATTTTGTACGATACTTATAGAAATATCATCAGAAATGTCGATATGTACCCAATTGATATACAGAATGTGCCATTTCCGTCGAATAGTTAATATCAGTGGCGCACTATTTATTTATATTTATATTTAAAAGGTGATGCATTACTATTATCTTCGCCATCTCGAAGTGCCTTTTTCTTTTCATCTTGTTGTGGTGCATTTGTTGTAAAGCGGATTCTTTTGACTCCAAAAAAGTTTACAATCTTGAGAAAAGTCTTTCCGCCAAAAAGTGGTTTGATATTCAGAGCGGATTTTATTCCGCATCATCATCGACAACCAGCTCACAATATTCATCAACAAATTCATAAGGATATACATCAATCGATTCGATGTCCTAATCACGGGCAATCCGTCGCTTACGAAATAGCGTGCTATGGACATCATGGCAACAAATGTGCCAATCTTCGTAGTTGTCAGCAAACCCTGCACTGGGAATATATTTTGTATTACAGAGTCCAGCACAGCTTTCCACGCATCTTCACCCCAGCGCGGAACTACCTCAATGGCCAATGGGTTCGGCTTCTCCGCTCTCGTGTACCTAACCTAGTCGGACGCTTACGAAGTGTCGATCACAAGAAACATATGATCCTTAAATATTGTAGTACAAGTGAGGTATATTGAGTAGCGATTAGCGACCAGCAATACCCTGTCCAGACGGAGCTAACTATCCGGCGTAACGACCTTCAGCATCCGGTAGTGGCCTCGCACAAACGGGATGCCTGTTCGCTATTATATATTCTCTGCCGAATCCCGTCTGCAGGTGGTCCGCGAGCGACACGAACTGTTCCCGACTTGGATGGAGTGCAATGTCTCAAGCCAGTAGCTGACATCGTAATGGAGATATGCTTGCAGTGTTCGGGCAATGATCCTTAAATGCATTGTTTATGCCAATGTCGCAAATCTGGAGGCAGAATGCTCGTCCACCAAGGACGACAACCGATCGGATTCGTTTCTCTAGGCATCTGCCATTCACATATCTGCAATATGCGCACGCATTGAGTTCCGCACAAGAACCCTTTTGACGTGGATTTGGCGTCGAATACGGTGGGGAACATAAAGTCCAGCCACCTGAGCAAAAGAGCACTATTTGCCTACGCCTTCTTACAATGCCACGTACACGTTGCCTTCGCGCTCCCATTACCATTCCCTATTCCTTCCAAATGACCACCGAAAAGAGTTTCTTACCGAGCGCTGTGACAGCGAGAATCACAGTGACTTGCGTTGCAGCATACACTGTTGACTTGAGCGTTACATGTCTGGCTCCAATAACATAAACGATTTCCAAACGCGGATCCTCGAAGAATGCATCAGTCTCGTCCATCAAAATTGTACGCGATGGATTGACCTTTGGCAATGCGTGGAGAGGTCGACCATGTAGTTGATTGCGCGCGAGCAAGTTCATTGTCTGACAGCGTCTGTCACTCGTCAGAGTTCGTCGTTAGCCCTAGGGTGAGGTCGAATGTACCCTTTGAGAGGCTAAACCACTTTTCCGAGGCAATAAACGTCTCATGGTCTTCTATATGTGGCGAGCTGGTGAGCTGTCCTTTGAATCCACTCGCGGGAGACCTTTATTTTATCGGAATGTCGCTGAATCGTGAGGTTGAATAGGACGTGTCCCATGGCGTCCAGTTGAGGCTTAGCAACACCACCCTTTTGTCGCAACTAGTTCGCCAAGGCGGCAAGAATTTCGTCGCGCTTCTCCCACCAGTATTGCATCTGAGAAGTCGAGATGGTCCAGTCACAGTTTTTTAAAGGCAGATGGCGGCATGGTTTGGTGCATTTGAGTAGTATTCTCGATCCAGTCAATGACTTCGCGCTCGCCATCTGGACAAGTCTACGGCTTGTCCAGATGGCGAGATGGGATGGATAGTGCGGGCTTGAATGGGCTCTCTTTCTTCTGATTCACATCGTAGTCGGCTAGTTTGAGAATGACTCGGGCATTTCAAGAGCGCAAATGCCGTGATCGTGGACTTTAGATACGCACGGCTTTTTTGCTCCCCGCATTTTCAATCTGTCCAGAAATCTCACTCATATGAGTTGGTATGTTTTTCCGGATAGGGAGGGCGTTTTAAAATGGTAAAATTCATTAGTTCGCTTATACAGTTGCTGAGCAGGAATATAACGGTTTTACGCTTAAGTGGTATTAGCGTGCTTACTGGGGACTATGTTTCCTCTTACTAACAAGTTGGTAATTTGCGCGGGATGAACTGCTTGTCAAAGTAAGTCAAATACGGTGGCGAGCCCAAGTCGAGGTGACTAAGGAACAAAATCAGTCAAATAACAGCTTGACTTGTTCTCTGGTACTGATGATAAGTACAAGGGCTTCGAAAAGGGTCGTTGGTTGCTCCTGTCTGGAATTACGAGGAGGACTGAGTCTTTTTCAAATGCGCGATGCTAAACGTTTTCGAATTTATAATGCCGAAAGACATCGCCAGGCGGGATGTGCTTGAGAACGAATGTCAGGATGAAGTGGATAAAGGATAGTTCAGGATAAAAGAAGACCTGATCAATATATTGTATCGACTTTCTATTTCCATTAGGCTTGCAAAGTAAGTGATGTTCGAGTCAACGCGCACGGTACCGTGTAATGAACTGGTATTGATCGACAAAAGCAAGCAAGCAGTTTCTCAGTCACGGCAAAGAGGTTACGTCGCCTGCAGTGCTAGGAACACAACAGTAAACTTTGCGCGAGGAACGACGTGCGAAATCATCTCTGCAAACTGGTTATTAGTAGATAGAGACTGAATGGATAATGTTTGCCAGTGGCAGATCGTTTGATCTGCAAACAGAAGACAGGATGGTGAAGAGCTTGACAATAATATCGCGTCATAACGACCTCCACCTCAACGTAGCTGTAGTTCCAACATGAGCTAATCACATCAAAATCGGCTTTTAAGCTGAACGATAGTGTAAAGTAGTTTAAGTGGAGTATGATGGCTATGCATCAATGGATAGGCAAGGAAACATGACTCAACTAATGTCAAGTGGTACTCTACTAGATTGCAGCATGAACCACGCAAAAAACGGGGAGCCGCCATTCACTACTTACTTTTCGCTAACCACCACTCATCCCATATTAAAATAAACTGTGATTGGACAATAAAATAATTGAAAACAGTAAAACTGCTCTTACTCAGTACCAACGATTACTTTTTAGATGCAAAGCCATCGACATTCGAAACACCGCTCACGTCGCCGGCATGGATCGTTACCACGAACATATCAACACCAGCTATGCTAGTCTAGAAAATGCGCGGGCTGCTCTTAACTCACTTTTTGCTGATGAAGGCTATATTATGACTGTTCTGCACACTAGTCGAGTCGGAAATAAAAAAGAAGGCGACATCAAAGTTGTTACTGTGCAGTGTTCATGCCGCACCAAAAGTGACAGCAACTTCCGCATTTAACAAACGCAAGCGCGTTCGGTCCCGACGTGGGACAGGCTGTATGATCAAATGTTCTGTTCGCCGAGTTAAACAAGGGAATCACTAGAAAGTTCAAGCTGGCTCCCACGATCACAATCACGGACCCTTTACCGACCAAGCTTTTCATCCGCAAGGGTGCGCGCTGACTGAAGCGAAACGCAAAGAAGTGATTTAAGCTCCAGTTGATCACCAGAAACCTGCCCGAATTGTGGCTGCAATGCGCCGCCGTGAAATAGCAATAACTTATCGAGGTGTAAGCAACATCAAGCAAGTAGAGAGGGCTCTAATCCTGGCTGGTCGTTCACCGCTTGTTGCTCTACTTGATGGCCTTGAAGGAAGCCCTGATGCACCATCTTTTGCTAAATTTGGTGCTCAACGAGAATTTACGCACCTCTTTATCACTTCCCCTTCCGCCAAAGAAATTTGCCCCCGATTTAGCGCTA